TGACTACAGCCAGAAGAGGTCGTACGCAGGGACAATGTTGGGAGGTATTCTGAGAGATGCTAATGAGTCCAGATTTTACTTAGACAATGGAACACAAGAAGATAGACAAGCAAACAATAAGAAGTATCATGGAGTTCACACAATGAACACCTAATCAAGTAAGTGGCATTAAAAGTTAGTCACAGCTGGGCACAGTGGTTTACACCTATAATTCCAGCAACCTGGGGGACTGAGGCAGAATGATCCCAAGTTTGAAGCCAGCCTCAGCAACTTAATGAGACCCTGTCTCAAAATAAAAAATAAAAATGGCTAGAGATATAGCTGAGTGGTAGAGTACCCCTAAGTTCAATCCTTAGCAACCAATAAATAAATACATAAAGAGTCATAAAACAATTCTAAAGTTAACCTAAAAGAATAGGTGGATGACAATGACTTTTTTTTTTTAAAGAGCACATGAAAGGGAGGAAAGGAATACTCTAAGAGATTTAAAAATACACAAGTTTAATATTACTTTGTTTTCAGTTCAGTATATCATCAAAGTTCACATATTTCTATTTTCTCTCTTCAGCACAGTGAAATGACAGAAAAATATAAATGCACAGATTTTGGAGGATACCAAAAACCAAAGATTCTGATAAGTTAGTAAGAAAATAAAGAAATGAAAAACCTGTGAAGGAGAATTGACAAATCTGTGAAGGAGGACTCAGTGCCCAGTGAACACATCAGAAAAGATTATTATGGATGTGGGAGCCAAAAAGTGACAAAGGAACTAAAAACTTATTGGAAGAATTATGTCCTGACCAAGTCTCCCTTTTTTCCTCTCAAAGAGAAAAAACAAACCCATACTAGCGATCTTTACTAAAGAATGTAGTCCTCCATTCATAAATAGAAACAAAAAGTAAAGATCTTTAACCATAAAGCAGGGGACAAACGTATGCATATTTCATGGAAAATAGGCAGATAGAAACATAGGTCCTAGACCCGGACCCAAAACAAGGCTATTTCATGAGCTTCCCCCTCCCAAGTATATATCACTGGTATTTACTTTTTTTTTTTTGTATGAGCAATTGATCCCAGGAGCACTGAACCACTGAGCCACATCCCCAGTGGTTTTATATTTTATTTTGAGACAGTATCTTGCTAAGTTGCTTAGGGCCTCACTAAATTGCTGAGGCAGGCTTTGAACTTGTGATGCTCCAGTGTCTCAGCCTCCCAAGTTGCTGGGATTATAGGCATGTGCCACTGTAGCCAGTCTGGTATTTACATGTGCGCAGCTATGAAATTACTAATACTGAGGACATTTATTGTTTGAAATGAGCAACAACTCAGCTTTAAATGTAATGAAAATGTTACTGGAGTCCTATGCCAGAGGCCTATCTGTTGGGGTCCCAACAAATCAAACCCAAAATCAAATGGAAAAAGTAATGGTAAAAAGCAGCAAAGGAACTTTAATATAGCTACACCATAGGTAAAGGGGACTGAGCATTTCCAGTCCTGTCTTTGAGGACATGAGCTCCATATTATACAGATAAAGGGACCCAAAGTATGCACAGTCAAGCATTCTTGGTCAAATGGGGGTCTAATTGATCATTACCTCAGGATTGGTCAGGTGGTGCCTTATCAGTGGTGATAAGAAAGTTGCTGTTGCCTGGGGATTAGTTTCTACTCATCATAAAAAACTTAAGTGTAATAAGAATTGTAATGCATCCCACTGACATTTATTTGTTTAAAAAAATCAATTAAAAAAACAAACAACAACAAAAAAAACCTCTATGGATCAGACCTGTTGTTCCTGGAATCCAAGATGAACAACTCAAGAAGCTAGATGCAAAATGGAGTCAGAGGCGCCAAGTTTTTATACATTTGTAGGTCCAGGGGAAGAGTCAATGTTTTGAGCAAAAGCAGCCTCTAAGTCCTTGTTAAAAAAAAAATACTAATGAAAAGGAGCATTTGGATTCAAGCAGAGACAATGGGTTTTCAGGCTTTGGTGATGGTGGTTAACCTGTCTTGAGATGTGATAGGTGTCATGTGATATGGTAGGTATCAGAAATTCATTAATTTATTCACTCAGAGTAAGTATTTACATTGAATGCCTACCATGTGCCAGATGGTTGGGATGCATCAGTAAAAAGAGAAAATTCCCTGCCCTAACCTTGAGAAGCTGATATTTTAGTACAACTGACTTTTGTATGGATTTAATTTCCTATGACTTAATGCTCTTAAGACTATCAGGAAAGATACCAAAATGTCAACAATAATCTCTGACAGTAGGATCATAGGTCATTTTTAGTTTCTTTTTCATCATCTCTTATACATACATCTTATACATCTCAGAAAACATCCTTCTTTTCCTTTCTTCCTTTTTTTTTTTTTTTTAATTTAAAAGGGTAGAATTGGGTAGAAACATAGGTATCACTCTACCACAGGGAGCATTGGGAGGTGAAGACAAAGTAGAAACAACTCAAGAAATTATTAAGAGCAGCTTTATCCATTCAAATAAGAGATACAGAAATATTAATAAAGATATGGATTTGTGAAACATCAAGGATGGAACATGGCAGATTTGAGAAACATTAAGGACTCTCAATTAAAAGAATTATGTCTGCAACAGATATGCTGGGTAAAGGAGAAAGAAAGATCAAGTAAGAATCCCAGGTTTTTAATTTGGATCTGTGAGAAGAGTTAACATAGGAGATCTGCCCTACTATGTTATCCCCATAGGCATGGCAATGATTGATCAATCTTTAAGAGAGCTCTTAGAACATTCAACATCGTTACTGGGTAACAAATGATGTTATTAGCCTAAAGCAGTGGGTCTAAATAAACAAGAATGACTATATGTTTAAAAGTAAACAGAAGATTCATGATACACACATGGTGTCTGATTCAGATCTGTACTATGGCTGGTCACATGTCAGATTTATACCTACATGAATAGCACTCTTTGAGAACTAAAGACACTAAGACTCAGCAAACTTCTCTGGGTATTAAGATCTCATGTGTCTTGAGATTTGAAGCTGGGGTGTAAAGATGGATGTCTTGAAGTATGTCTGTGACTTCTTAGCCTATGGGTATCTTTTTACCTGCTATTCCTGCACTGTAAACTTTGCTATAATAAATCTTAGCCCTCATCAGTGTTCTGTGAAAAGCAAGCCTTTTTGTTTTCGATAGGCCAACATTTTGTACTGTTTCTTCAGAAATGTTCTGATGTGCCGTTTTTATGTTGTGAAATAGTAGCTATTTTCATATAGTTCATATGCATCTCTCCTTTTCCTTCCATTTGAAATAGTAAAATTCACATTGTGGGGCAAAATAAATTCTGTTCTTCTGTTTGTGAACAGACTTTTAAAAGACTATGCAGGAAACAATTTATTGCTAAGACCTCCAATTACTGATTCATCAGTCAGTGAGAAGGTAGTATAGCATACTTATTTCAGCATTTGGAATCATATGACTTGAATTCTAATTTTGGCTCTTTCATTAATTAGCTTTATAAAAATGGGTAAATTACTTCTTTAAGCTTGGTTTCTTCACTTATAAAATAGGGTTGTTTAAAACAATCTTTTCCTAAGACTGTTTTAAAATTTTAATTCCTTTATGGTGCTTTGCAAAGTGGCTGGCATGTAATTCCTTAATGTTAGCAGTAATTATAAGGTTGTTAGTTAATAGTAGTACAACCACCATCCACATGTATAATACTATAGAATTAGTTTGGAACATACAACAATAGAAAACAGTTAATAGTAGTAGTTGTATGTGAGGCTTGGCATCAATGCCTCAAAAAATACATTTGGTTATTTTTTTTTAAATGATCATTTATTACAACTATCCTATCAAAATTAAACTTTTCTGTATTCTGTTTTACAATTTCTATTCTTCTGTGATATAAAAGGTCAAGCTTTAGTTTCATTTTGTACTCTACTCTCTTGAACTCTTTTCTCATATTTATCTGTTCTTGCATATTGGGCCTTTCTGTAACTATCATTAATAAAACAACTCTTCTGATTAACAGGTTGTAAACTGTCTTTCTTATGAGTATATAAGCCAATTGTAAAATCAATTATGACTGATTAACCTAAGTACTAAAATTAAGTGTTAGGGGATAAACTAAATCCACTTTGCCTTACTTGTAAGCCATTGTGGAACTTACGTAAGAAAAAAAAGTAAAAGGGCTAATATTGTTATGAAAGAAGGAGATATCTCTCTTAGTCTTATTATTCTAGACAAAAGCTTTACTAAAACAGTCTATATTTGATAGCTACTACAGACAAGAAAATCTATTGAATATTTGCTAAAGAAAATATTATGACATAAATATTTAGTTAGGGGATTGGGTTGTGACTCAGTGCTTAAGGGTTTGCCTACCATGTGTGAGACACCAGGTTCAATCCTCAGCACCACATAAAAATAAATATATAAATAAAGGTAGTGTGTTCATCTACAACTAAAATATTAAAAATAAATATTTAGTTACTTAGAGAGTCCTCTGTCAATATCACCACAAATATCAGTAATTTCTAATTTTATTTTTATGTTTAAAGGGTACTGGAGATTGAACCCAGGAAAGCTTTAACACTGAGCTACATACTCAGTCCTTTTATTTGGAGACAAGGTCGTGGAAAGTTGCTAAGGATCTTGGAAAGTTGCTGAGGCTGGCCTCAAACCTGCATCCCATCTGCCTTAGCCTCATGGTTTGCCAGGATTACACATATGCACCACCACGCCCAGAGGTAATTTCTAATTTTCTATTAGAATTAGCCTATCTATGGCCATAAGTAAAAAGGGAAAAAAATATAAAAATAATTCTCATCCTTGAAAACATTACCCAGCACCACTCAATTCAAAAGTGACTAGCTTAATCCAATTTAAAATCTTATTATTCTAGACAAAAGCTTTACAGTCTGTAACAGTCTGTATTTGACAGCTACTAGAGACAAGAAAATCTATTAAATAATTGTCCAATTTTAGAACAAATTTGCAAGCCTTAAAAATATATCTACCTTATGATATCCATTGCCTGGTAAAGTATTTCAGATTGATCAACTCCAAGAACTTTCCTTGCCCCAGCTTTAGCAGCAAACATAGAGAGAATTCCAGTTCCACATCCAACATCCAACACCACCTGGGGTAATAAAAAAAAGACATTATCACAAAGGTCTTCTAGTTCAAACTCTATTCATACAATATGGTGTTTCTGGGTAGATACAGAATATGATAAAAATTTTAAAGTTCACTGTTCAAATATGGTATTTTCTCCTTAAGGAAACTGAAGATATTACAATGGGTTGTTTTAAATTAGTAACAATATAATGGCCATAGTCTATTACTATTAGGCAAAACATTGCTAAATTTAAGAGATATTAAACAAGTAATTTCTATAGACTTCTTGATAAAAAATTATTGTTTTCAATTTCCTTTTTGTCCATATGTTCAAAGTTAGGCTCAGTAATTCTAAATTTAAAAAAATAAAACTTTTTCAACTTTGAGTGGAAATAATTAAGCAAAACAGTCTGATCCAATACAATTTAATAATCACTATAAAGAAATCAAGAATGTAGAAAATGACCATTTCCCCCCCATCTCCCAAATTGAATATCTTATTTTAACAGAACAAATACAACAACCATAGGAGGGAAAAAAAGCCTCTGCAGAATTCAGTAACTTGAAGATTTAGGTTATAAAAATGATATTCCATTATTAGTGAAAGAAAGTATTTAGAAGATCTGAAGTTTAAGATGATTTGAAAGTAGGTGGGAAGTAATTATTTCTAAAATCAAGAATTTTATGTTTTTCTTGGAATAGTACATATTGAAACCTGCTCAGGTCACAGTAAAAATAAAAACAAGTCACCCAGGAAACATATTAAACAAAACAACACTTGGAAGTAAACTATCCTGTGAAACTACTGAAAACCTTAGTGCTTTAAATCTTTCATTATCAAAGCTCTAAAAAAAATCCTATATGCTTGTCCTAAATACAAAGTTATTATAGTGCCCTTCTAATGTAAGTATAGAGTAAGCACTGCTAAGTGCATCAACTAATAAGACCAAATCTCTGTCTTAATGATACATGCAAACTTCTTGGAGAAATGAACAATGAATAAATAAAAGAATATAAAATGTTAGAAATGTTATAAAGAAACATTGAGTAAAGTCAAGGTTAAAGCACAGGAAAAGGCATATAACCCTTCAAACTTTTAGTCAGCTCTGGGAATACTTTTTAAAATATATATTTTTAGCTATACATGAACACCATAACTTTATTTATTTATGTGGTGCTGAGAATCGAACCCAGTGCCTCACACATGCTCGGCAAGTGCTTTACCACTGAGCTACAACCCCAGCCCCTGGGAATACTTTTTGAATATGTGTAAGCAGAGAACTGAAAGACTTAAAAGAGTGTGTCATGCAAAGATCTGTGGAAATATATTCCAGCCATGGAAAGAATGATATTTAATACAAGGCATAAGATCCCAAGCAAAGCAAGATGGCCCATATGGCTGAGCTTGGTGGGAAAGAGGTCACTTGGAGGTGAGGGCAGGGATTGGTAGGGGAAAAATCACATGGAGCTCTGGATTTTTTATTCTAATAGTAAGTAACAAAAAGAACAACATATCTGTAAGAATTTATTATACTGCTGACCAAGTATTTCATTTTTATCACTAGGTTATATATTCATGTAGGTTTAAAAAATACATTTCTTATGTATCCTTCAAGAGATTTTTATGTATTTAAGAATCCACTACAGCTGCTCCTGCACAGGAATCCTGGCTGCTGTGTCCACACAGGTCCCCTGGCCTCAGCATCTGAACAGGACCCTTGGCCACCTGCCCACGTGGGAACCCTGGCCAGCCGCTGATCTCGTGTGGCTACACATCTATCAGCTTGGGGCTCCCCTGGTCACTACATCTTGGGCACTGCAACCAATGCCATAGTTGCCTACACCTGGGAACACTGGACAGGGTCTGGAGACAGCCGCCAGCCACAACACTGCATTCCACAGAGCTGCATCTCCAAACATGCTGCCCAACACCACTGCCCGGTTGGACCTCTGAAAGCAGCTGCCTCCATCTTGGGACACTTTTGTCACCAACTTGGGTTATCGCTGCTACTGCCATCGCCATCTTCATTTGTGACAACTCACAGCTTGGGATACCAGATGGGGCCTAGAAGCAATATCAAGGTACCTATAGTCCCCCGACTCCCCCCTCTCCCTGCAGCCACAAAACCAGCACAGTGCTTGCAGCTACATGGCCAGTCCTTAGCTTACAAAACCTGGTCCTGATCTGCCCCAAACAAAACAGCTCTCCACAATAGGTGTGTGCTGGCCTGTGAGAGAGAGGTTCCTGATTCGGAAGTAGAAAGGGAGGAGATGAGATACAGTTAAGAGACTAAATTAGAGACCAGGAATTTTGAGGTCTACAGGCAATATAAGGAATTAAGACCAGGCACCCACATCACACAAGCGGGCCTCAAAGGAGATCCTTTGGGTGCAGTCTCCCAACTGGAACCAGCAAGTACTATATCCCACCTTCAGAAGTTCCATCCCTAAGACCAACAGTCCCACCCTAATAACCTTCACCATCCTGAGGGTGGAGATAGCAGAAAACAACAGACAACTACACTTACTGGATAAGAAGGGAAACAGGAAAGATAGTGAACTCCAACAGAAACAATCCTTTAATTTTCCTTTGAGATATGTTTTCTTCCTTTTTCTCCCCCGCCCGCCGCCTTTTCTCTCTCTTCTCCTGCCCTCACATCCCCAACATCTGCAAAACCAAGTACTTTTCATGGATCAGTCTACTGGGGACTGGGATGTCTGAATAGTAATATTACAGTTGTGTTGTATATTCCTTTATCTCCTGTTTTTACATTTTGTTTTTCTTAATTTTTATGTTTATTTGTTTTTTGTATTCTTTCTATTGTCTTCCCACTTACTTGTCTCCCCCAAAATACTTTCTCTCTTTTCTCTTGCTCCTAGCCAACTTCTTTTGATTCCTCTTTCACACTTCCTAAGATCTGATAACTATATCCTCATCTCCTACCTTCTTAACATCTCATTCTACACCCCACCCATGGTTCTCTCTTCGTCCACCATCAGAAGCTATAGACCCTTTTGCAAACCTACTGTTTATATAGTAGATAATAATTAAACTCACCATTTCTATATAGTGTGACAAAACCATAAATGTCTTAATAGGAGCTATTTGACTTAAGGCTGTATATTGTTTGCATTACGATCTATTCATATTGATTTCCCCTTAAAGGAGAGGTACTGGAATCTTGCAGGGACACTATAAACCTACAGAGCAAAAACTGTAACACCTTAGAAACACACTGTTAGAAGAGAAGACACACGAACAACATGAAAAAACAAGGGAAGAAAGTGCCCCAAACAAACCAAGATACCACATTATTAGAATCCATGGCCAGTACAGCAGAAGAAATATCAAAGAAGGAGTAGGATGTTCATAATTACAATGTTCTGAGAATTAAAGGATGATATAAGAGAGCAAATATAGGAAGCAAAGGATTATTTCAATAATGAGATAGTGATTTTGAAAAAAAACAACAACAACAACAAAGAACAAACCCCCACAAATGAAATGAAGGAAACAATAAACCAAATAAAAAACTCAATAAAAACATCACCAAGAGATTAAATCACTTGGAAGACAGAACCCCAGACAATGAAGACAAAATATATACTCTTGAAAATAAAGTTGATCACACAGTGAAGATGGTAAGAAACCATAAGCAGAACTTTCAAGAATTATGGGATAACATAAAAAGACGAAGAATTATTGAGATAGAGAAAGGCATAGAGTTATAAACCAAAGAAATGAACAATCTATTAAATGAAAAAAATATCAGAAAATTTTCCAAACCTGAAGAATAAATTGGAAAATCAAATACAAGAGGCTTAGAGGAAACAAATGTACAAAATCACAAGAGATCTATACCAAGGCACATTATAATGAAAATGCCTAGCATACAGAATAATGAGAGAATTGTAAAAGCCACAAGAGAAAGGAATCAGATCACATATAGGGGGAAACTAATTAGGATCTCTGCAAATTTCTCAACCCAGACCCTCAATGCTAGAAGAGCCTAGAATAACCAAGCTCTGAAAGAAAATGGATACCAAACAAGAATCCAGCAAAATTAAGCTTCAGATTTGATGATTAAATAAAAACCTTCCATGAAAAACAAAAGTTGAAAGAATTTACAAGTAAAAAGTCTATAGTACAGAATATCCTCAGCAAAATATTCCATAAGGAGGAAACAAAAAACAACAATGAAAATCAGCAAAGGGAGATATTACACTAAAGCACAAACCAATCAAGGGAGAAACCAAGTCAAGTTAAAAACCAAAACTAAACAAAAATGACCAGGAATACAAATCATGTCTCAATAATAACCCTGAATGTTAATGGCCTAAACTCACCAATCAAAAGACATAGACTGGCAGATTTTAAAAAAAGACCCAACAGTATGTTGCCTTCAGGAGATTCACCTCACAGGAAAAGACATTCACAGACTGAGGGTGAAAAGTTGGGAAAAAACATACCACTCATATGGACTGTGTAAAGAAGCAGGGATTTCTTTCCATCCTCATTTCAAATAAAGTAGACTTCAAGCCAAAATTAATCAAATGGGATAAAGAAGGATATCACGCAATGCTTAAGGAAACCAACCACACATTCAACATGACATGCAATTATAAATATATATGCCCCTAGTAAGGGCATGAAGGTAGAATGAGTTAGATATCATTACCTTAAATACATGTATGAAGACACGAATGATGTGAAAATACTTTGTGTACAACAAGTGACTTGAAAAATTGTGCTCTATTTGTGTACTATGAAATGAATTGCATTCTGCCATCATGTATATAACAAGTTATAATAAACAAATAATTTAATAAAGAAAAAATATATATATGCCCTAAAACAATGGAGCATCTATGTTCAAGCAAACTCAATTTCAAGAGTCAAATAGACCACAACACAATAATACTAGGTGACTTTAACACACATCTTTTACCACTGGATAGATCTTCCAAACAAAAACTAAACAAAGAAACTATAGAACTCAATAATACAATCATCAACTTAGA